AAAGTGTGTGTGTGTGTGTGTGTGTGTGTGTGTGTGTGTGTGTGTGTGTGTGTGTGTGTGTGTGTGTGTGTGTGTGTGTGTGTGCTGGCAAACCTTTTCCACTTGTAGAATATATATTCAAAAAGGAGCTTCAAGTTAATGCATTTAAAAATTGAATTCATGTAAAGCCCAGATATTGATTGCATTGGAAAACTTCTGTTTGGAAAGACGTTTTTGCTGGACATTATATTTTAAAATGCAAAGATATTACATGTTGAACAGAAAAAAAGTCAAGACACAAATTGTGTAATCTGGTGAAGCATCAAACATCTAATTGGGGTAATTGGAAAACAGGCAGCAGTGTAATTGGGTCTTAGTCTTTTAACACGGTTAATGGTAACTTTGACTTAAGTAGCTAATGTTAAAACGATTTTTAAAAGGGTCTGCGTCTTTCTCGTCCTTTAATTTATGCCACTGTGTTTCACTGTACCTTCAGTACCCGCTATTACTTAAACTTACTCAAATTGAGCACATGGTGGAGCTGTGGCCAGCACCCCCATAAGTGCCATTCCTGTAAGAAACCGTGACTTAAGTGATCTTTTAGTGTTAACGCTTTAAAGCGAGCTTGAAACTGAAACAAAGGTAACAGAAACTATTTGTGGAGGGTGAGAAATGTTGACAGCATTGCAGGAAAAGTATTTAAAGGAAAGACCCAAAATACATGTGCTATGCTGTCTGATGCCTGGCATCATCATCATCGTTTCTGTGAAGTACAAAAGATATCAGCAAAGCTCGTGTAAATGCTGTGTTTGCATTTCACACCGCATTAAAGTGAGAAATATTTCACTAGTATTTCTCAGTAGAAAGATGCTTATCTGATTATTGTCTGGAAATGCTGTACAACAAAACCAAGTTCTACAGTTTAAAGTTACTCAGCTCTTTGTAAGCTGGACATACAAAGAAAATTGGCAGGGGATTTTTTTTAAACGGGTTTAGATACGTGTTTAAATAGATTAGGTTGTATATCCTGATGCTGCTTCTCTCACAGTTATGTTTATCCCACCGATCACAAGACTTTTTCTGATAACTCAAAAAGAAAAAGTACCTATGTCTTCAAGTCATTTGACTTGCTGATCTTGTTTCAGCCGTTGCAGTGTTAAGCAGGGTTTTCCATATTTTTGAATATTATTACCATGCTTTTCTTTTTTTGTGTGGCATTGCTGGCTGTGCCAAGACTTACACAGTAGCGTGGACAAATATTTCCTCGAGGGTCACACAGATTCTCATGGTGATCTTTTAAATAGTTAAGCTTGCCAGCGGGTAATTCACTGCTAGTTTGAGTTTATATTCCATCTTTTCAGTTAGTTCCTGCCTGGTTTGTTGACAGCTGTTTCTCTGTGTTCTCATTAACAGGATATAGCACCAGATTGATGGAGAAGAATGGCCCGTATTTCTTTGGACTGTCCCAACTCTTTACCAGGGATTCCCCTCAGTGTCTTGTCAGTGCCCATGGAAAATAAATATAAATGTCAGCAATGTCTCCAGGTCCTGAGGAAGCCTGTCCAGGCTCAGTGCGGCCACCGCTTCTGTGTACACTGCTTCAAGCAGCTCACCAGGTAGACTGGAGGTCCTTAGACCAAACTGCTTACCCCGCACCTAATGTTTCCTGTCTTACTGGACATGCTTCAGCACACCCTTTCCTCATCTTTCCTCAACTCTGGGAGTTTTGTCCAGACAAGATCAGTTATTAATGCAGACTCATGCCCCACATGATGGACCTGTCATACTGATGTTTGTGAATCACAAGGATGTGGTGTTGCTGATTCATTCTAAAGGTCTTCTTTCTAAAACCTCCTTTCTGAGTCATTCACACACTGGTGGATTGTTAATGCATGAGGTGTATTTGTA